CAATTAAAGGGTCTAAATGGTTGGCATTGGGCTGACTAATTAGGTAAAACTCCACATTTGAAGTTTTGTTAGCGGAGTTTAAGTCTTGCTTTAAAGTTTCTACGCTGGACACCGGCACAAACCAGTCATTGTTTGAGTAGATGACGGTGAGAGGATTTGAGAAAGTAATCAAAGTGAGATTGTACTCGGGAGGTTGTGAACTCCCGTAAAGTTGAAGATTCTTCACTAGACCGTGGTCAAATTTAGCGAAACGGCCCGTGCTAAAAAGTTGATCAAAGTGGAGCAAATTTTGGGCAGAAGTGCTCGTTGGCATGTGCGAGAGAAGGACCCCAAGACGGGACTGAGTTTTAGATAACAAAGTTTTCAATTTTAGTTTCATTTTTGTTTTTTTGCACCAAGAATGCGTAAAGAATTTTAGCAAAGAAAAAGGGATTTCCAGGAATTCAGTCAATATCATAAAAAAAATTTAAAATTAAATTTTTGTTTAAAGTTGAGAAACAACAAAATGAAAATACCTTATCGAATTGCTCATAATCAGGTCCGGTGATGGAGAAGAGAACGTACTCGGCAAAATCTCGCACAAACGGCAGCTCACTTGAAAAGAGCAAAAGTGCATCAGAAAAGAAGTTCTGCCCAAAAACTTCCCCCGAAGAGCTGTACAAAATAAAAAGTTGACAAAAATTACAAAACTTGACTTAAACTTTATAAAATCTTTTACTAAAGCAGTGGTTTTAGAGTTTTGAGCAGCAGTTGAAATGAGGTGGACGCCTTGCCCAGTCTTGTCACCGGTGAAATGGCAGTAAATGAGGCCAGTTTCCGGTTAACAGATGACGTTTCCGATAGCAGCGCAAACATCGTGGCCGCCCCTTGAGAGTGGCCAATGTAGTGAAGGCTTTCTAAAAAGAAAGAAAAATTGAGATAAACAAGTGTTTTTATGAGTGCGAAAAACAAAAAACAGCAGCAAAAGCAGAAAAGGCTGCTAAATATTTGCATAGAGAACCAAACTGAAAAAAATTCAGACAGTGCATTTTTTTTATTTGCAGACGCTACTCCTAATTGCAATGCACCAAACAGTCGTAAACAAAATGATGTTTTTTGGTTGAAAACAAAAATCATCAAATTTTGGTTTTGTATTTAGTTTTATTACCTTGTTTTGTCTGATTGAGAACGTAGTCAATCACCGCCGGGACGTCATAACGGGCAATCTCATCAAAGCTAAACTTCCAAAACTGCGGATCACCACTTTCACTGCTCAAATTTTGATGACCTTTTCCGTAAACTGAGCCTCGATTATTAGACAGCCAAACGTCGTAGCCGGCTCTGGACAGCTCAAAAGCCAAACTTTTGCTCAGGGTAATCAGGTCTAACACCATTTTTTCTTCTCCAATGACAAAATCGGCGGAGGTGCCAATCAGGCCGGTTTGAAGGAGGGCAACTGGTTTTCCGGGTTTTGAAGGAATTCGATGCAGTTCAACAATGTACGACTGGTAGGTGGTGACGTGGTGGACTTCACAATCAAAATTGCGGGAGGTGATCAGCTCGCAGGTGGATTTCCCGCGGTCTGGATCAAGGTTGAGGTAGAAGAGCAGAGTGAGGAGGAGAAAAATGATAATAGAGATCAGGCTGAAAAGTAGGAGGAAGGTTTTAAAGCGAGGAAGGGCGTGACGAAGCCGCCACCAAATGATTTTAATTGCTGAAACGGTCATTGAAAGTAGGTAGACTAGGTATCTCAATTGCTGAGTAAAGGTAACTCTTTTGGTGGTCATTTTGTTGTTTTGTTGAGAAAACTTTTGTACAATGATGATAAGGTACAACAGCGAAGGATTTTTTTAAGTAGTCAATAAAAATTGTAAGTATGAGCGTGTGATCTTTTAATGTAATAATGGTTTGCTTTTTCACAACATTTTAAAGATTTAAAATTGTTAACGAAAATCAAGTTTTAGTTGCTGACCACTTTTACTATTTAATTTTTGTTATTTTTAGAACAGATCTTCTGCACACAGTCAACTGCTTATAAGCCATTGAAAAAGACCAATGAATTAATTGCACATTACACCTGTGCGGCAACTTCATTTGCTTATCAAACTCTACTGATCAGGGGCATTACGTGTGTCAATTTCAGTCAAGAATAAGTAATATTTAGTAACCTGCTTTGCCCTCTACCCTCTTTTGCCAATCAAAGTGCACTGTTTTAGCACTGAATCCGTGTTTTTCCCGAGCGCTAAAAGTTTCTCTTTTTTGAACTCACAAAGTTCTTTGTTTCACCTTACTCGGTTTTTTCGGTCAGGAGCTTTCTCCTCTATTTTTTTTGTTAATTTAATCACCCCTCACTAAATTACTCTCTTTTTGCCCCCTCTTTTTTCTAACTCGAACTGCAACTTCTTTTTCCTTTTTTATGCTGTTTGCAATGTCTGCTGTGACATCATCGGATGCGGCAGACACACTCGCTCATTTGCTGCTGCTGTTGCCGTTGTTGCTAAAGTGCAACATTTAATAGAAAAGCAGAGAAAAGGAAAAACTGTGCACGTTAATTGCCGCAGCTGATACTTTTTTCCAGTTAATAATAGTAATAATGTTATTAAACGGAGGAAAAGAGAAAAAGGGAGAGAAAGGTAAATGAAACTTGGGCAGACGATACCAATTTATATATATATTGCAGCAATATTTTCATACTTGGGTTTTTGTTGCTTTTTATTTTTTGTAGCTTTTTTCCTTTTCCCCTCCCTCCATTTTCTTTCCCATACTTTTACCTAATGGGCAAATGCTGTTCTAAATGACGATGACAACGACGAGCAATTGACCATAAATATGTTCAGAAAGTTCAGTAGTGAGTTTTAGGTTTTATTTTTTTGGTGTCTATTTAAAGTTCAACTTCTGTTTTCTTTTTACAAGATTGTAAATTGCAGCCTGGTCACTTATCAGGAAACATTGTTAACAGAAAGACTAAAGTTCAGTTCAGTTCAAAGTAGTTTGGTCAGTTTGGTTTTTGCTTTCTTTTTCTGTTGAGCGGTAATTTATCTGACTAGCAAGAAGATAGTTGCCTGCTGATAGCCAACTGCAGTCAGTCTGATTAATCGAGGCTGAAAAAAAAGAAAAAAAGATAATGGAAAAAAATTTGATCTAGTTTTGTTAAACAAAAAATTTAAAACAAAAGCGAAAAAAATGTTTTATCTTGTTTTAATGGCTCCTAAAATAAAAATATTTGTCGTCGGCTTAGTAAGGTAAGATAAACTAAATTAAGAAGCAATTTAAAAACGATTATAAAAAATGTAAGTAAAACTTAAATTAATTTTTTACTATGTAATGACACAGTTAAAAATTGTTTTTTATTTATTTAAGCTTTGCTTATTTTTTTTGGGTTTTAAACTTTTAGTGAGAATTCAAAATCTTCTCATAATAAAACGTAGTTGTTGTTCAAGGGAAGTTTAAAAAATGTTTGCTTTATTACAATATTTTCCTTATTTTAAATTCATCTTTTTATCATATAACAATAGCAATAGTAAAAGGAGTTACAAAAAAACTACAGTGAATTTTGAGTTTATTTTAATAATGTGGCACTTTAATAATAAAATATTTAAATTTTTGTCAAGTTTTTTCTAAAGAAAAAATTGCCAAATTACAACAACACTTAATTTGAAAAAAGTTTCACTTGTCTGATCATTTTCATTGATAAAAAAAATTCCAGACTAAAAAAATATAACAAGGCTTCAAAACATGACAAAAACATTCCTCACTTTAATTTGCACTTAGAGCAATTTCAATTGATTTGTTGCCATTTTTAAGTGCAACAACTAAAAAAAGTAAAAACTTCAAAAGCAATTAAATTAAAATTGGCTTCAAATTCTGAGTTATTTTAAAATAAAAGTTCAGTTTTTAAAAATCATGTTTTTACGTTGGAAAATTTTCTATAAAAAACTTGCATAAATTAGCCAGCACTAAAGTTGTTCGTTCAGTGTTAGCAAAAAATCACACTTTTATTTGCTACGAAAATCGAGTATATCGATTTTATTTGAAAGAATTTTTGTCTAGTGTCAAGTAAATCACTTGGCACTATTTGAAAATTCAGGTACAAACATTGATTATTTACGTCAACTATGATTGACAAAGGATAGCTTTTTAAAAATGCTCTCCCTAATGCCCATACAGTCTAGAAATTTTATTTGCAAATGAGTTTGAACAAAATGATAAAACCTATACACTTTCTCCTCCACTCCATTCCCTGATGAGTTTCCATTAACTTTCTCAAACAGTAAATAGGCACTAAACACAACAACAACTGCTGCTGCAACTGCTGCTGTTTTCACATTTGCATACCTAATGGACTAATTTTCCAGGCTAATTTTTCTTCTTTTGTAATTTTTTTCGGAAAGTGATGTACAATGAGCGGTAGTTGATTGCCTGTTCTCAGCATTGGCAGACAGTAAATTGAGTGTACAGTAAAAGATGTTTTTTTCAAAAGCTTTATAACTTTGGCGATCTCTAGCGGTTCAATTTCATACCAAAACCAAACTAAAAATGTGTTTGTAATTCTCCAACTTTCTAGTCATCATTTGCCTGCAAGAACTTTAGCACCTGCCAGTTGGTCTCCACCGCCGCAGTCAGGCCCACCAACGGGTCAATGTGATTAGCACTGGGGTCACTTAGCTGATAGAAGACCGTACTATTTGGAAGGTCACCCCTGAGCGCCTGCACGCCGTCCAGCGGCACAAAGTAGTCGTTTGCGGCGTAAATGACAAAAATCGGGTTAAAGGTGATCTGATGCAGTGGATAGTCGGCGTCGCCATCGAATCGTTTGAAGCGATTAGTAGCAAACAGTTCCTTAAAGTGGCGCAAATTGCGTCGAGCAGTGCTTGAGGGCATATGAGTGGTGTAAACCGGGAGGCGGTTCTGGGGAAAGAAAGTAAAAAAAGATGTTTTGGTGAGTAAAAAGTTAAACAAAAAGCTTTTTTTGTTTACCATGTCAAGCTGACCACAGCTTGGTCCAACTACAGAGAAGAAGACCAACTTGCAGATCTCCTCACTGCCAATGGTGTTACAGGCAAGTGAAAGTGCCTCCTCCTGAAGTGGAAGTGGCGTGAAGATGCCACCGTCAAAGAGTCTTAACAAAGTATTTGAATAAAAAAAATAAACAAAAACTAAAACATTTTGTACTTACAGAACCGGCGTCAACAGTTTGAGCAGATAGCGGAAGGAGGTCTTTGCATTTCCGATTCGGGTAATCGGCGAGATCGCAACAAAGCTGGCCAACTTTTCGCTCACCGCCGACTGCTGGTTGGTGCTCAGCAGGACAAACATCACCGCCGTTCCCTGCGAATGGCCCAAAAAATGGACCTTAGAGGCGGAAGTGACGTTTAGGACGTAATCAACGATGGAGGGCGTATCCTCCTGGCCGATGTCGCCAAAAGTCCACCTCCAGAAGGCTCGGTCTTTTGGGTTTAGTGTGGTGTGATTGAGGGCGTACTCGTTGCCGCGGTTGTTGCTGAGGAAGACGTCGTAGCCCCGTTTCACCAGCTCAAAACCTAAATTTTGGCCCATCACCGCGGTGTCCAGCGTTACATTGGAGCTGGCCATGACAAAGTCGGCCGAGGTTCCAATGAGACCGGTTTGCAAAATCACTGGAAATCTGCTTCGTTTTGTTGAATTTTGAACACCTTCAAGAGGAGGTAGAATTCGATGAAGTTGCACAATGAATCCGCCGCCGGTCACTACGTAGTGGACCTGGCAGCGGAAGCCCCGGGCGGTGACTAATTCACACTGAAAATAAAAGAAAACATTGATAAGGTTTTGTTGGTACAACAAACTGATGTTGTTTTGTTTTTCTTACCGTAGTCCTCTTCTCATCGGCGTCAGCTCGGGCGTGGCTCTGATTTTGANGGGATGTTGTTTTAGAAAAGGAGATAGAAGTGAGGAGGTGAAAGAAGAAGAAGAAGATGATGATGATGATGATGAAATGGGTAAAGAGGATCTTGCCAATAGGTCCTTGCTTCGACTGAAAAAAGGTGAACTGTTGCTTGAATTTTGTGGATGAAGATGATTATTCAGGCCGATGACTGTTGCCAGAGAGGCCGTTAGAAAGGCTCGCGTCATGTTTAGAAAGCCGAACATGTTTGATGTTGATTATTATGAAAATGCTGATTATTTTTTGTTAGAAAGATTTGTTTTTATAACATAAACATTGGCGCATGATTTGGGTTTGTTTTGGTAGCGATTTGATTTTCATCATTTGGCGACTGCTGCTGCTAAGGATTAGAGGACAGGCATGTGGTCAAAGGCAAAGCAAAACAAAAAAACTGATCAGCTGTTTGTTTTGTTTTTCAGTTTTTTGTTTTTATTTCAAATGCAACTGAGTTTATCAACAGAGATATCGTTTTTTTCTATTTTTGTGTGTGTACAATCAGTGCAGTGAAATATTGTACAAACATTGCCGTCGATTTTCACAACTATCCAAGCTCGCCACCACCAAGGACATCG